GAAAAGGGCCCAAGGGTAAGGCGTTTGGATCCTCAGTGCTTGGAGCCCATCATAGACTCATCGGCAAATGGGAGTGTTGATGATCCCTTCCCCCTGTGGCCCTTGAGATTGAATTCTAAGTACAAAACAGAACTATACCGCAGCAGGATGATGTTTGCAAGACTTTGCCATGAACGCTTGCTTGGTGCTGAGCTTGACCCCATACTACCGGGCCTAAATCGATCTTGGGACCCAGACCCATCATTCAGCGCTTGTCATCTCAGTAGCCATCGTTATCACCCAAAGCATCACTCAAACCATGACGCAGCGTGGAGTGCTGACGGATGGTTCACCCAGGAAGGGCGGCAAGGGTCCTGCAAAAGGACCGGCAGCTGCAGCTCCAGCGGAGCCGGGAACTCATCGTTTTTGATTCGTTTTTGTTTTTGGGACTCTGGGTCCGCATGGAAATTGCAGTCAGGGGATCGATTTCCAGATCTTTCCGTAATGACAAACCATTGGATGACTCATTTTTGGGCAAACCCAGATCTAATTCTTCGTGTGAGTTGACACGGGTTGAAAAAGGTTGAAAAAGGTTGAAACTGGTTGAAACCGCCCAAAAACATGTTGCTCTTGATGTCATTTTATCTCATTCTGCTCATGACTCATCTGAATTGTAGTTCATGTGCAAGGCCGGCTGCAGAGAAACTTGAGGCGCGTTGGGTTTCTCGAAGTTTGAAACGTACCTGTCCAAAATACTGTTCTGAGGAGCTTAACATAGCTTAATTATTAACTTCAAATTAGTATCAGATGATATCAGATGAAATGTTGATCAGTACTGGCGTTACTGGCGATTCTCAATGATACTGTTTCCTAGACGTATGTCATGAATCTTGAAACACAAGATCAAATTGCCAGTTCAAATATGAAAGGTGCAATCGTACCATGAAGTCCCATGGACAAAAATCACACGGGTGAGAAATACTATGAAATAGATTGAAATAGTTTCATAGCATCCAAGTTAGGACTCGACCTCAGCCCATGGCCAGGAGCCGAAGCCCGTGCCTTCCGAGTCCATGGAGACCCCTGCGCCAGCAGAGGTGGTTTAGCCATGACGTAGAGATACATAGATGATCATAGATGGTAGTTGTATCACGAATATTTATTTGTTTGCTTATTTATGATCTCATTGTATATCTATAATTATCTATATATTTTCGTAGAGAGAGAGAGAGAGAGATATGGCCAAAGACATAGCTGAAACAACCGGGATATGAAACGCCTCACATGTTGAATGTCCAGGCCGCTCCAACTGCTGAAGCTGGAGCTGAAGCTGCAGCACCAGCGGCAGGAGACTGGAGATAGCGGCAGTTTGCTGGGTCATGGCGCGAATTGTGTTGCTCAAACATTTCAACCTCCTGAAATGGATCAATTGTGTGGGTGGAGGGGGCCATGGGCGGCAATACTGCAACAGTCAAGCATCAAACTTCAGTGGAAATTCCACAAATATGTCTCGACTCCAGATTTTGCACGGTGCATCCATTTCCTTTTCCGGAGGTACAGGTACAGGTGCATGAAGATAATTCTCAATCCATTAGGATGTACGCAGTCATGTGGCTCACTTGCACTTCCGGGATGTCCTCGGGGCGTCACGTTCCAGGAAAAGGGCCCAAGGGTAAGGCGTTTGGATCCTCAGTGCTTGGAGCCCATCATAGACTCATCGGCAAATGGGAGTGTTGATGATCCCTTCCCCCTGTGGCCCTTGAGATTGAATTCTAAGTACAAAACAGAACTATACCGCAGCAGGATGATGTTTGCAAGACTTTGCCATGAACGCTTGGTTGGTGCTGAGCTTGACCCCATACTACCGGGCCTAAATCGATCTTGGGACCCAGACCCATCATTCAGCGCTTGTCATCTCAGTAGCCATCGTTATCACCCAAAGCATCACTCAAACCATGACGCAGCGTGGAGTGCTGACGGATGGTTCACCCAGGAAGGGCGGCAAGGGTCCTGCAAAAGGACCGGCAGCTGCAGCTCCAGCGGAGCCGGGAACTCATCGTTTTTGATTCGTTTTTGTTTTTGGGACTCTGGGTCCGCATGGAAATTGCAGTCAGGGGATCGATTTCCAGATCTTTCCGTAATGACAAACCATTGGATGACTCATTTTTGGGCAAACCCAGATCTAATTCTTCGTGTGAGTTGACACGGGTTGAAAAAGGTTGAAAAAGGTTGAAACTGGTTGAAACCGCCCAAAAACATGTTGCTCTTGATGTCATTTTATCTCATTCTGCTCATGACTCATCTGAATTGTAGTTCATGTGCAAGGCCGGCTGCAGAGAAACTTGAGGCACGTTGGGTTTCTCGAAGTTTGAAACGTACCTGTCCAAAATATTTTTTCTGAGGAGCTTAACATAGCTTAATTATTAACTTCAAATTAGTATCAGGTGATATCAGATGAAATGTTGATCAGTACTGGCGTTACTGGCGATTCTCAATGACACTGTTTCCTAGACGTATGTCATGAATCTTGAAGCACAAGATCAAATTGCCAGTTCAAATATGAAAGGTGCAATCGTACCATGAAGTCCCATGGACAAAAATCACACGGGTGAGAAATACTATGAAATAGATTGAAATAGTTTCATAGCATCCAAGTTGGACTCGACGACCTCAGCCCATGGCCAGGAGCCGAAGCCCGTGCCTTCCGAGTCCATGGAGACCCCTGCGCCAGCAGAGGTGGTTTAGCCATGACGTAGACATACATAGATGATCATAGATGATCATAGATGGTAGTTGCATGTATCACGAATTTTTATTTGTTTGCTTATTTATGTGTAGATCTATAATTCTCTATTTATTTTCGTAGATAGAGAGAGAGAGAGAGATATGGCCAAAGACATAGCTGAAACAACCGGGATATGAAACGCCTCACATGTTGAATGTCCAGGCCGCTCCAACTGCTGAAGCTGGAGCTGAAGCTGCAGCACCAGCGGCAGGAGACTGGAGATAGCGGCAGTTTGCTGGGTCATGGCGCGAATTGTGTTGCTCAAACATTTCAACCTCCTGAAATGGATCAATTGTGTGGGTGGAGGGGGCCATGGGCGGCAATACTGCAACAGTCAAGCATCAAACTTCAGTGGAAATTCCACAAATATGTCTCGACTCCAGATTTTGCACGGTGCATCCATTTCCTTTTCCGGAGGTACAGGTACAGGTGCATGAAGATAATTCTCAATCCATTAGGATGTACGCAGTCATGTGGCTCACTTGCACTTCCGGGATGTCCTCGGGGCGTCACATTCCAGGAAAAGGGCCCAAGGGTAAGGCGTTTGGATCCTCAGTGCTTGGAGCCCATCATAGACTCATCGGCAAATGGGAGTGTTGATGATCCCTTCCCCCTGTGGCCCTTGAGATTGAATTCTAAGTACAAAACAGAACTATACCGCAGCAGGATGATGTTTACAAGACTTTGCCATGAACGCTGGCTTGGTGCTGAGCTTGACCCCATACTACCGGGCCTAAATCGATCTTGGGACCCAGACCAATCATTCAGCGCTTGTCATCTCACAGTAGCCATCGTTATCACCCAAAGCATCACCCAAACCTTGACGCAGCGTGGAGTGCTGACGGATGGTTCACCCAGGAAGGGCGGCAAGGGTCCTGCAAAAGGACCCGCAGCTGCAGCTCCAGCGGCGGAGCCGGGAACTCATCGTTTTCGATTCGTTGTTGTTTTTGGGACTCTGAGTCCGCACGGAAATTGCAGTCAGGGGATCGATTTCCAGATCTTTCCGTAATGACAAACCATTGGATGACCCATGTTTGGGCAAACCCAGATCTAATTCTTCGTGTGAGTTGACACGGGTTGAAAAAGGTTGAAACTGGTTGAAACCGCCCAAAAACATGTTGCTCTTGATGTCATTTGATCTCATTCTGCCCATGACTTATCTGAATTGTAGTGCATGTGCAAGGCCTGCTGCAGAGAAACTTGAGGTGGGTCGGGTTTCGAAGTTTTAAACCCACATGTCAAAAACATTCAAAAACACTTTTGTGAGAAATTCATTGTTACTGTAAGTGCAAACAATTAAATGAGTATCAGATGAAATGTTGATCAGTACTGGCGTTACTGGCGATTCTCAATGACACTGTTTCCTAGACGTATGTCATGAATCTTGAAGCACAAGATCAAATTGCCAGTTCAAATATGAAAGGTACAGTCGTACCATGAAGTCCCATGGACAAAATTTTTCACGGGTGAGAAATACGATGAAATAGTTTCATAGCATCCAAGGACTCGACCTCAGCCCATGGCCAGGAGCCGAAGCCCGTGCCTTCCGAGTCCATGGAGACCCCTGCGCCAGCAGAGGTGGTTTAGCCATGACGTAGACATACATAGATGATCATAGATGATCATAGATGGTAGTTGCATGTATCACGAATATTTATTTGTTTGCTTATTTATGATCTCATTGTAGATCTATAATTATCTATATATTTTCGCAGATAGAGAGAGAGAGAGATGGGCAAAGACATAGCTGAAACAACCAGGATATGAAACGCCTCACATGTTGAATGTCCAGGCCGCTCCAACTGCTGAAGCTGGAGCTGAAGCTGCAGCACCAGCGGCAGGAGACTGGAGATAGCGGCAGTTTGCTGGGTCATGGCGCAAATTGTGTTGCTCAAACTTTTCAACCTCCTGAAATGGATCAATTGTGCGGGTGGAGAGGGCCATGGGCAGCCATGCTGCAACAGTCAAGCATCAAACTTCAGTGGAAATTCCACAAATATGTCTCGACTCCAGATTCTGCACGGTGCATCCATTTCCTTTTCCAGAGGTACAGGTACAGGTGCATGAAGATAATTCTCAATCCATAGGATGTATGCAGTCATGTGGCTCACTTGCACTTCCGGGATGTCCTCGGGGCGTCACATTCCAGGAAAAGGGCCCAAGGGTAAGGCGTTTGGATCCTCAGTGCTTGGAGCCCATCATAGACTCATCGGCAAATGGAAAAAATTGATGATCCCTTCCCCCTGTGGCCCTTGAGATTGAATTCTAAGTACAAAACAGAACTATACCGCAGCAGGATGATGTTTACAAGACTTTGCCATGAACGCTTGGTTGGTGCTGAGCTTGACCCCATACTACCGGGCCTAAATCGATCTTGGGACCCAGACCCATCATTCAGCGCTTGTCATCTCAGTAGCCATCGTTATCACCCAAAGCATCACCCAAACCATGACGCAGCGTGGAGTGCTGACGGTTGGTTCACCCAGGAAGGGCGGCAAGGGTCCTGCAAAAGGACCGGCAGCTGCAGCTCCGGCGGAGCCGGGAACTCATCGTTTTTGATTCGTTGTTGTTTTTGGGACTCTGGGTCCGCATGGAAATTGCAGTCAGGGGATCGATTTCCAGATCTTTCCGTAATGACAAACCATTGGATGACTCATTTTTGGGCAAACCCAGATCTAATTCTTCGTGTGAGTTGACACGGGTTGAAAAAGGTTGAAAAAGGTTGAAAAAGGTTGAAACTGGTTGAAACCGCCCAAAAACATGTTGCTCTTGATGTTATTTTATCTCATTCTGCTGAATTGTAGTTCATGTGCAAGGCCGGCTGCAGAGAAACTTGAGGCACGTTGGGTTTCTTGAAGTTTGAAACACAAATTTCAAAAACATTCAAAAACACTTTTATGATAAATTCATTGTTACTGCAAGCGCAAACAATTAAATTAGTATCAGATGAAATGTTGATCAGTACTGGCGTTACTGGCGATTCTCAATGACACTGTTTCCTAGACGTATGTCATGAATCTTGAAGCACAAGATCAAATTGCCAGTTCAAATATGAAAGGTACAGTCGTACCATGAAGTCCCATGGACAAAATTTTTCACGGGTGAGAAATACGATGAAATAGTTTCATAGCATCCAAGGACTCGACCTCAGCCCATGGCCAGGAGCCGAAGCCCGTGCCTTCCGAGTCCATGGAGACCCCTGCGCCAGCAGAGGTGGTTTAGCCATGACGTAGAGATACATAGATGATCATAGATGGTAGTTGTATCACGAATATTTATTTGTTTATCACCACCCTTTCATAAATGAAATTTCAGAGGGGGGGTATCCCTTGAAATTTCATTTATTGTGTTTCATTTTTTTCCATTGATCAGAGATTTCAATCAGATTTAGCGGGCTGCCCAAAGCCATTTTGGATCATGAGCCGGCCGCGTCAGTGCTGTAGCTGAAGCCTCCCCCTGCCCTGTTGCAGCTCCACCTCGCACCGCCACGGCCTTCCTGAGGCGAGATCATCCCCTGCACATGCGCAGGATTGGATGCCATTGGATGAAGTGGATGAAAAGATGGATGGAAAAATGGATAAACTCCTTATCACCATCTTGCTGATACACAAAATGAAATGCATCAATGACCCAAGAGCAGTGGCAACATAGGGGGTATTTAAGTTGCATGGCACATCTGCGAAATGTCTGGATTTGATATGATATTTATGATATTTATAAAGGCTTCATATGGATTGTTAAGGGGATTTGATATGGGATTCTAGGGATTTAGTGAGTCATTAAATCTCTATTGTCAAACCCAGCCCATTTCCATATGGAGGTTTCCTAAAATACAGTACCCCCAAATCATCCCATTTATAGATGGATTTCCCATGACATAAACCATCCAGCTATGGGGGTACCCATGACTTAGGAAACCTCCCATATATGTTTTGGTCTTGATCCATCCCAGAAGGGGTTAACCAATGACGGATTTTGCATCACCTTTGGCGTTCACCGGCGTCCACTTGAGCTCACTTTTTCATGGCTAGTTGGCCCCTTGGTAGCCTCTGGGATTGAATGACTCATCTATGGCTCTGCCAGCTGTCGTGGTGCTTCAGTTCATCCATGTCCGTTGTTTCATCAAAAAACACACAAATTCCCTGGGTCTTGCCGAAAGCTCCACTCCAAAATTATCCAAACATCTCCATCAGTTGGAAGCCTTTTGGCAAATTTCGTTGGAACAACTGGGGCTGTCTGAAAATTGAAGGGAACGTCCCCAACTTTGATGGGTTGAGCATCAGTTTCCCTATGGGTTGAGTGGCCAAACATTGGGGCATTTTCCCCAAGTCATTTCATCCCTGGCGCGTCAGGCAGTAGTGCCGAAGCCGTTGAATTAGCCCCTGTGGAAGAGAATTGACATCTCCGATGTGGGCCCTCCAGAGGAGGCTGATGGTTGGGATATGTTGGGATTTTCTCATGTCATGGGGTTATAGAAACATACTGAAGGAATCGGAAATATATTGAAAGACAAAGTATGCATAGACCGTCTCAAAGCTGTTGTTCCTTTTTGTGTCGTATCATGTACACACCAATTCAGCTTTTGCCAGCGGAATGCCGCAGCTCACACTCCGCCAAGTCGCAGGCATCCTCGAGTTCAAAGAGACTGGAGTACAAATATGTCATTCGGCGCCCTCCTGGTGTCAAGCCTCCCACCCGCACTGGTTGGACTGTGTCAGGGACAAGCGCAGAAATTTGGGCGAATCTTTGGGCATCCAGTTTGGAGCCCCTTTTTGAAGTTTCTCAGGGCCATTTGGGGCAGGTGAAATCCAAAACACGCATGGTTTGTGCTGCTTTCCAGGTTTCAAGCTGTGTGAATTTCCGCGGTAGATTCTTATCACGGCCAAGCCGCAGGAGGAGGGGCCTGAGATTCTGGAGCATAGTCAGGCCGCAGCAGCACCAGAAGGGCAGCCCCGCGGCTGGTGCATTGCAGTGGTTGGAAACCTCTGTGAGTTTTGTGAAAATCTGGGGAAACCACGGGAAAACCAGAACATCCCATGGTTATTCCACGGTTGGAAAGCAACTTCCTCACTAAAATGGCGAATGGAGAGTAAATCCACGAGCGTTTTTTTTTACAAAGAAACACCATGCAGAAACCATAATTCAGTAGCCTTTGTATAGGGGATTGGAAATGTATTAGGAACAGTGACTACTAGACCGAATCTCGAGATA